TCCTCTCCTCTCCCCTCTCCTTCCCCGTGGCCGCGGCGGCGCGGGACTCGCTCACAGATGATTTCCGACTCACCTCGTTCCCCAGCGTCTGTTTACCCCTGCCCCCCTAAAACACGCACACGCGCGCTGGGCCCCGCAGACCCGGCAGCGGCGGAAGCACGAGTTTCCGTGGGATGCGCGTCGACCCGCACGTGCCTCTCGGGGAACCGCGGCCGCCGGGGGCCCCCAGCCGGCATGCGGACTTGAATGCGCACTGAGTTGCCGGTGTCGCGGGCGGAGTTCGGGTTTTCACCCCCACCGCACCAACCCCATCCGGCTTCTTTCAGGTTCACCGAGGGATCCACGGTAAGTGTCGGGCGAGGTATCAGCCGCCCGGCGCCGCGGAAAACGCTGGTTTCTAAGACTGTGGAAGAAATGCTGGGGGAGAGGGCTGGAAACCCCGGGAGTGTCCCAACGTGCTGCGACGGTCCGAGCCACCGCGTTACTCCTCTAGCACCGCCCGTAGGCGAGGGCCAGTGGGAGTTCTCTGGGGTGGCGGTATGGCACCCCTAGGTGTGCCCTAGGATGTCGCGACCCTGGCACTGGCTAGAATTTAGGTGAGTGCTCGGTCAGGAGTCACCTCCCCGCCTGCTCTAGGTTCTGAGGACAGGGTGGTCCCCAAAAGTCACCGGAGGGCCCTGAATGCTGGTGTCACCTCAGCTGCTCCCCGTAGTCAATGATGCTGGAGGCCACCCGAGAAAGTCGCTTTGGGAACGCCATGGGGGCGGTGAGGAGATGGCTTTCACTCCCGTCCAGGTGCAGAGATTCGCAGAGTTCTCTCCTCTGGGGAGGAGGGGTGAGCCCCCTTGAGGGACGCCCCATAGGCCGTGCCTCCCACCGACCCAGAGCAACCCTGGTTCAGCCATCTTTCCCATTTCCCTTTCCAGTCCGAGTTCCACCCGCTTGTGTAAAATCTCCTGCAGTCCGGGTGTGCGGTGGTTCAGAGGGGTGGATTTCTGGTGGGTTTGTCTTCCTTCTCCTTCCTGCTCTCCAGTCCAGAATGGAGCCAGACTGAAGACCCTCCGTCCTGGAGCAGTGCTTTCTGGACAGAAAGTGCAGTGCTCTGGAGGGGACCACACCTGGGTTCAAAACCCAAGTGGCCACCCCACCCCACAGGTGTGGAATTTCTCGCTTTGACCATATTTTGACTGGCTGCCTGCAGAGGATTTCCAGAGACTTAGGGAGACTGCACTATTCCACTAAATGCTGGGAACACTGATTAGAAGTGGGAAACGGTGGGCTTTCAGCCTACGATGACGTGGTATAAAGCCTGCCCTTACCCACTCAAAATGACCCCCCACTGCCATTTGCATTTCACCTCTTTGGTTTAATATTTTAACCCCTGTCACAATGATAATTTGCCAAGGCATGCAAATCACTCCACTTGCTGAGAAGTGGTTTGGAAAGGAGAGACGGAGAGTTGGCAAGGGAAGTCAGGAGAGCCACTGGAGAGGAGGTCCCTGCTGGGACCGATTCACAGTGAGGAAGCCACTGGGTTACTTCTCATACTGAAGGCTTCGCCTGAAGCCTGTCATGGTTGCTGGGCCATGTCTGGCGATTGTTAGAGTACGTACTGTTGTCAGGTGACTTGAGGAAATATATGCCAAAGCATTCATTAGTAAAATTCATTTGTTCCCTGAGTTTGTTTTGTTGGAGTACAGACTTTACCCCCTGAGAATCCTAAATGAAAACATTTTACCTGATTGCCTGAATCTTAAGAGCTTTTTGTTGTTGTTGCTGTTGTTCCACACATTAATTTTTCTGAAATCTGAGTGTTTCTTATAGATGGCATCAGAAGACGCTTACCAGCCCCTTTTTTTCTTCTGAAAAGATATTAATAAATTGATCATATATCTTCCAATCAGTGGAGTCTTAGAATGGAGGCAACACAGTGATTGTTTTGCACTGGGGTGCCCTGGGGAACCTTGTCTGCCTGCAACTTGCTGCACACAGTTATTTTGGTCAGCAGCTCAATGCGGCATGCCCAAGCCGCAGTGTCTAGTAATGACCCTGGCATCTGATTGTTTCTGAACACCCTGACCTATGACCTCTTTTGAAAAATTAATACCATAAAATAGATGCTGAAGAAAATATAAAAATCTTAAATAAAGGCAGTGGCATGATGTTGCCTCTTACCTCAGGCTCCAGTGATCCTGTCTTTATGTAAAATTTTGATTTTTTTGGTATAAAATGAAGTTTATAGATGTATTTTTTCCCCCCAAATTCAAGCAGAGCCTCTTAGTGGTCACCAGGTATCAGTGAGACTGTCTGCATTTTCTAGTGACCTGGCAGTTAGGACTGGAATATGTGACGAATTCTGGCCAGTGCCATGTGAGTAGAATTAGTAGTAGCACTTCGGGGTCGAGCAGTGAAGAGCTGCTGCATCTCCCCCCGTGTTCCCTCCTCCCTGCCATGATCTTGGAAGCCACACGATCCAGATGGTGCCCAGTACGATGGACGAGTGCAACTCAACTGGCGTTGGACTTGGTTGAATTCGGTTAGGCCTCTGAGATTTTGATAATTATTTGTTATCACAGCATAGTTTTGCCTATTAAAAAATATTGCATTGAAATATTACTTATCTTCATGACTGAGTTTGGGGCACCCCCTTCCATTTCATACCCAGGGCAGGGGCCTCATTTACCTCACCCTAGTGTGGCCCTGTCCTTCATCTGATTGACAGAAGGGTGAGAAGCAGAGGTGAGCCAGGACCGTGGGCTGTCATGGGAACCAGCTTGCAAGTTCCAGGAGGGCGAGTTGAGGCCTCTCCCAGGACTGCCACTGACCTGTGGTGCGGCCGTGAGAGTCTGGAAGAGGAGGGGGGGGTGGCCTTTAGAAGATTCCTAAGGCCTCATTAAGAGGGGCTTGTATTTGTCCTGATTGTATTTTGTATGTCTTTGTTAATTTTATTGCTCTAGTAATCCCTTTTTTATCAAATTTTTCAAAAGTCTCATTGTACAACGAATTGAAAATTTAAAACCAACAAGGAAGCAAAAGAGCCCTGGTCCTTCCCTGCAGGTGGTTTAAGGCAGAGCTTCTCAGGAGAAGGGTGCATGTGGATGACAGGTCCACTGGGGGCATTATTTGCCTAGGTGGCTAATAGTGCAAGTTACTGATACATGGTGCCTTCTCTGTGCCATTGCTGGGGTCTTTCACAGGTTTAGTCCACCTATGGGAGGGGATGTTATTAACCCTGTTTTATATCGCACATATGCGTTGGTATAATTACTGTACCACCACTAACACCCCAGACTAACATCACCTGAACATTTGATGTATCTCCAGGGCTCCAGGTCATCACACTGGCCCACCACCATGGTGCCACCTCTTCTCCAGCCAGGGCAGCATTTCATTCAGAGAAGATCATTTAAAATGCTGCACCGAGGACCTGCACTCTAAGTGAGAAGTGAAATACACAGAATACAACAAAAGAAACCCTTGATTAAGAGCTTACAGGATGTTTAATTTTACTTAACCTAGTGTTCTAGACTGACTGGTCCCTACCCATCCACCCCCCAACACCAGCTTTTTTTTTTCGTTTTGTCTATTAATATCCCATAGAAATGAAATGACTTTGGAAACCATGAGTCATCTTTGTAGAGCATTGACAACTTAGAAAATCTTAGAATTGATGGTGTACTCATGGATTTAAAGTCCAGACTTTTCCTGTAAAATTGGAATATTCCAGTTAGAAGAAATCTTGACGATCATTTAGTTCAAGGGTCCCATAGACAAGACATCTGTGTCTGATGAATTCCTATATTCGGTGGCTACATGTTCCACTGTCAGAAAGAAGAAAGGAATTAACTTTTTTAACATTTTTTATTAATTTATAATCATTTTACAATATTG